TCACAGTGTCTTCTAAGAGGTCAAAACTGAATTTGATAACTTCTAAGAAGTGGATTGCCGTGACATTAGTATACAGATAGAAGGTTGGGATGTATTTTTATTGCCCTTGTGTCGTTATTCAATGAAAGAATTCTCCATAAACAGGGTGAAGTCAATCCGCAATAGGTATTTAGAATTACATCTTTTATCTTCTATTTCTGAATTGATCTTTTTAATTCATTTATTTTACAAAAACTATTTTAGGCAATACATATATAACAAATCTAAAAAAACCTGATATGATAAAAATTCAGCAGTTAGACGAGTTATGACTAAAACACATGACATACTCCTCCAAATTAATTTAATTTGCTACAAAAATAGCATTATTAATTCACCCTTGATATGCATATTCAAAAACACGTTTAAATTGTATTTATTTTTAGGAAACTGATCAATAGAAAATTTACGCTATAATTTATATATACTGAGCCGTAGTCTGAACATTTAGAATAAAAACATATAAAAGCTGAGATTTCTAGTCATTTTCCAGTGCATGGTCTCTCCCGACATTATGGCTTTACAGATGAGCTTGCAATTACAAGAATAAAACTTTCATATTGGCTCCATTATCCCAAATCTTACAAGGTTATAAAGTGACTTTCAAAGTTTGTATGTGTGCGCCACTGTGGCAGTAGCTAGGCCAGAGCCTCTCTAAATTCAAGCAGACCTAAATTATCTAAAACAAATTTCAGACAGTTACCTAAAATATTGGGCAAGAAGCTTGCAAGTGACTATGGATTAAATGGATATTCCTTTACCACGTATTTTTATTTGTTACCTGAATAGTTTGGATTAGTAAAGGTTCTCCACTTTTAAACATTAATTGAGGTAGCTCATAATTGCCCACAGAACCAGCAATGGGTGTCTTTTATTGTCTGAGAATGCAAACAAATGTATTATTACAGAATCGTTGAGACTCCCTCATGTATAAAATATTTATAGTTTGCTCCTGATGGTAACATGTAAGAAGCAATGACTTGGTAAAATGAGCCAATCTACATTTGCATTAGGGACTGTTAAAATAAAGTAATTCCTGCATTTGCATTTAATTTTTGAAACTAAAATGAAACGACAACACAATTATTGTCCACTTTCATTTTAAGTGCAGTTCAACAAAGAATTATCTTGGGCTTAAAAATATTATTGTTCTATATTTGAGTACTTTGTTTAACAGAGTGTATAGTGTTTGTTGCCGATGTATCCAGTGTTATATTTACATATGAATACTCTGTATTGTTATTTCAAGTTACATATAGATTACATATCTGTTATAGTTCTCATTTTATCTGTGGATGGCATTTGAAAGGCAAACTTTTTTTTTTCTTCACATAAATCTCTCACTTTTCTTTTTTTTTTTTTTCATTTCCAGTCTTTAAGTATTGACTGGAATTGGTCAGCAGTTTCCGTGAAGTTGTGTTGACGCTGTAAATTAGGTCGTAAAAACTGGGCCAATGGAATCACATTGCTCAGATGAAGTTCAGAAAGATCAAGGCAAAAATCGAGTAAGAAAATCTGACCTCTGTGTCTCCTGATTTATGTATTGGAAGTAGATTGTGCCAACATTACCATCACAGAGATAAGCTTTGCTATTTTAGTTAAACAACAAGAAATGGATTGACATAATGACATTTTTACTGGCAGGACATCAATATTTGAAAGTCCTAGCATATCCAATACTGAGTATATTAGTCAATAATGACAAAACTATGGTAAAACAATGTCTCATTTAAAAAAAAAAAAAATTGTGTGGCATGTATCTGTTTCACTGTGCTTTATTTTGATTTACAAATGCTGTATGTAACCCAAATGCTGTATGTAAGCAGATGTAACAATAATTAGTTTATAAGATGGATGGTCATGGAATAAGAAGCAGAGAGCATTATACTTAATATTTAGCGCATTAATATCAATCTTAAGGATGAAGCAGATTTATCGGCCATCTTTGCAGGTCAATTTTCCGTTGCAATCTTTAGTAAGTTCCACTGAAAGGAACACAGTGTGACACTAATGTATGAGAGTCTTAAAGGGCCATGGGAATTGTATACTAATGAGAGACTATAATTCAATGTCAAGAAATACGAGAATTTTAGTTAAGTAATTTTAAATGGACTTTATGAATTATGAATAATTATTCTACTGGTGATGAGATAGATAGATAGATAGATAGAAAGATAAAAATATGCAAATATGTGTATCTATATATTTATATTTATGCATATATATTTACTTGGTTCCTTGAGACCCTGACATGTAACATGAGTCTCCCGCGAAGTTTTGCCATACTAGTCAAAGCAGGGCTGAAATACTTACTTTTTTGTTTTTGCTGAACTGCCTCTCTCCTGCCTCTCTTCTGATGCATCCCAGCACTGCTTATGCTAGAGAGATAACATCATGCAATGATTCTGCACCCATTTTATTTTTGTGAGACATGCTTTTTGTCATTACCATATATTAACTTATTACTGTCACGTATTCATCCGCACATAAAAATGTGGTTAATGGCATTTACTGTCCTGGCAGGAAAAGTTGTGCCGAGCAACATTACCGTCCTGACAGGAAAAGTTGTGCCGAGCAGCAATCATGCACATGGAAACCTGGTAATTACTTTTAAGGTCAAAGGCCGATCATGGCCAATCAGATCCACAGGAGGGTTTGTGCTGAGCACCAATCATGCACATGGAAACCTGGTAATTGCCTTTGGGGCCAAAGGCCGGTTGCAGCCAATTGGATCCACAGGAGGGGTATTTAAACCCAACTCTCCTCTTGCTCATTGCCCTGTTGTGGTTTCATGCCTATGGTTATCCGAGAGCGCGTTCCTGATCTTGTTTTTTGGCATTTGACTTTGTTTTGAGTTCCCTGATATCTGGTATCCTTGACTTTTGGCTTTTCCTCATCTTTGTGTCTGATTCTGTGTCCCTGATCTCGGCAAGTATTTTGACTATTCTTGGAGACGTTAAGTCTGGCCATTCTAAGGTCCGGTTATACGTTATCCTTAGTCCTAGACGTGACACAGTACTGCGTGCTGGATGAACTTGTAATCCTGACAATGACATACAGGTACTTTTTATGTACATACAGAGTAGGTGGAGTATCTTGGTTCGTTGTAAAATAGCATATCATGTACAATTAGAACTGTAAAAACAGAGAAAACAAAGTCTAGTGCAATATGGTAGAACACAGAAATAACTTGAAGTATAATTTGTGGTTAGTACTCACAAACCAAGAGCCAAAAGGAACTGGCTCAATTCAGACGCCTGTGGGATAATTGTAAGGGTTCCCACTCCCTTTCTGTATAGCAGCTGCTTCTGTGTTTCTTATTGTAGCTGGGAAGAAGGGACCATACCCATTCAAATAGAAGAAAATTCTTCCTTAATAAAAATACATAAAAATACAACTTTACTTAAAAAATCAAATAAAAATTAAAAATATATTAAAAAACAAAATCTCAATATAAAATAGTCCACTATTGGACCAAAAGTCAATAATCCACTCTGGAAAAACAAGCAAGACGCGTTTCGCCCAATGTATGGGCTTCCTCAGTTGCTCCTAAAGATGTCCTACTGCCACACACCATTTTATATCCTCTTGTAATGGGGGGATGCCGGACACCTGTTCCGTCCTCAATTCTTCCGGGTTCCGTCGTCATTTCCCATTGACGGATTTCCGGTTTTCATTGCACTTTTTATGGCCTGAAGGTACTTTTTATGGCCTGAAGGTTTTATCCCATATATTAGGGAAGCGATTGCATAGAATTCTGGGTCCTCTGTATACACTCTGTACATAGGTAAAGTGTGTGTGTTTATGAGTGTGTTTGTGACATTTTGACATTGGGTCCAGAAGAAATAATAATGAACCACAAGACTAAAGGCTGATTTTTTAACATCTTATATTTCATTACAGTTTTAGACTATTGGAATGTATTAGATATATGGCATAATGAGAGGTACATACTGGTTTAGCTTCTTCTTAGTCAGGGATTTGTTTGCCTGAAGTTGCAGTCAGATTGTCTAAGCCATTGCTGTCAAACTCCAGCCCTCAGATGTTAATGGACCACGACCTCCATAATTCTCTGCCCATCTATTGCACTCAAACATTTTCTATCAACATCTATGGGTAGAGTTTGACAAATATGGTAAGCTATGCAGTTTCAGGGTCCTTATAGGAAAACATTTTTTATTTTTTTATTTACATTTTTATATTTTATTTTATAATGCACTAGGTATATAATGAATACAAAATATAGTGTTATTTTTACTCTTTTGTTTCCCTTTAACTCACAACCCCTATACCTGTGTAATTTATGCACGGCTAGATTAATTTTTTTTATTTTTTTTTGTACAATGCCACCATTTGAAGCCGTGCAGAACGGATATGACGATGTGTTACTAAGTAACAGATACTGTCCCTCAGGAAACTGAACCCATGGTGCCTTCTTAAAAATCCTTCAGTAATTATACAATGACCGCAGAAGTAGAACAGCTGTGATGAACACAAAAGAGGAGCTACGTGAAAACCTGCAATTGAATGTCAAATTTCAAAGCACAAGGTGAAAGTGACCGCATCAAGAAATGTCAGAAAGGTAGGACAACCATATAAAAAGTATGATCAACACTCTCCGTTATTCTGAACTCCCATGAAAGACAATATAGAGTTACAGGATTAAGTATCTTTTTCAAAAGTGTACAGTCAGAGTCTTGAACAGCTGATAGTCAGTTAGAATAAGTCTAAAAAAAAGCATAAACTATTTAATTGAATACACTTGTTAATTTAATCAAATTAACCTTAAATTTTGGATGCTCGCTCTTTTTAAAAGCTTTTTTTTTTATATCACTAGAATTAAATGAGTTTTGAAATAGACTGGAACTATTTCTATGAGACAAGTGCCATTTAGAAGACTTTGGAATTGAGGTTTTATTACACAGTTAAATCTATTCTATGCAGAATGATCTTGTTTTCATGATTATCTTTTAATAACCACTAATTGCTGACCAGAATGTAAAAATACAATGTTAACATTTTGAGCTATGCAATTCCATTACATCTCATTCAGAATGGCCTTGAAATAATATAATGTAAAATGTGTGTAATAAAACTTGCATTACGCATAATTCTTACACTAAATGCCCAGCCGTGAGTTCTACTAAATGCGTGATTCCTAAATGCAATTATAGTTATTTGATACTAATTCAAAAGTACTGTATGGAGCAGCTATGTTGTTCAATTATAGAACGTTAGTCTTAATTATTCACCTACACCAAAAATAGAATTCAGCCCACAGAGAACACTAAAAACACAATTAAAATGGGCACACACTTTCCTGCTGCCAATTCTTATTGCCTTCTACAATCCTGAAGTTCTTTTAAAGGGTCACTCCAGGCACCAATATAACATTAATACATTTGGATGGTTTGGCTTCACAAATATGCTGTTTGTCTGCATGCTCAAATCTTTATAGTTTTGCACACACAAAATAAAGGTTTTGCTGAATTCTGTACAATAAACCTTACCCTTCACTTCAGAAAAAAACTTCCTTATCAAATGTATATGTATAGCTCAGTCTCGGCAGTCTTGGTAGCCAGCTAGGGCTCTGCCAGATGTGGAACTACAGGGTCGCTGAGGTCATGAGTGTGATCAGGACCCTGTGTTCCACCTGTCAGGGAGGCCCATGAGCTTGTCGGTTGTCCACCTTAGGGCACCCCAGGTGGTGGCTGGCTGTTTGCTAAGGCAGAGTAGCCAGGTGCCTATTCTGCTGACATACCGTGTGTCCTGGGGAAGGTCAAGCATGGGTGGTGAGTGAGCGCTGATTTTCCTGCTCTTCCTCATTGCTCCCTCACGCACCCCTTGTGGTGATGCCAAGAGCCAGAATATGACCTCACTCTGTCACCAGCATCTCTAAATATTGCATGAGGGAGCAGTGAGGAAGTGTGTTTGTCTGTCAGTAAGTGTGTGAGCCTGTCAATGAGAGTATGAAATCAGTGAGGAAGTGTGTGTCAGTGAGTTTGTCATTGAGAGTGTGTGTCTGTCAGTGATTGTGTGTCTGTCAGTGTGTGTGACTGACAGTGAGTATGTGTGTTTGTCAGCGCGTGTATGTTAGGCACACACTTTCAGATACAAATACACTAACATACACACGCTGACAAACACACATACTCACTGACAGTCACACACACTCACTGATACACACACTGACAGATACACACTGATCGGCACACACTCACTGACAAACACACACTTTCAGATGCAAATACTCTGTCAGTGTGTGTCTGTCAGTGAAAGTGTGTTTGTTAAACAGTGTGTGTGCAAATGACTGTGTGCCTGATATACACTCACTGACACACTCACTGACAGTCTATGGGCGTGTGTCTGAAAGTGTGTGTTTCAATAACTGTATGACTGTCATTGAGTGTATGTTAGTGTATGTGTACCAGTGATAGAGTAAGGGGGGCCTTTTTTAGTTCTTGTGATTCCTAGTTACTGTCATGATACCTTACCTTTTTCCTCCAGACCCGCGCAGTATAGCTTCCAACACTTCCGGGCGACTGCACAGCTTGTCGGCAGCCGGCCGCTCCTAACACATCTCCTCTTATGACGTGACGCATGCGCACCAACGTCAGGAGGATTATACTGCACAGGTGCAATGTATTCCATGCTCCCGAACGTTTTGGGGGCGTGGTGTTAAAGCCAAAGACACTCTAGTATAAAAGAGTGCCTTTTTCCCTGAATCAGTACCCTACTGTGGTTCCTTTCTTGGTTCCCTATAGTGCTTGAAATTTTCTCTGTTAGTCCCCTCGTATGCCCCGACTTGCCCTTTTGACTATTCTCCTCTCTGGTACCCTGACTTGGACTGGTTTACTCGTTTCTCCGTTCTCTGCATTCCTGACTTCAGCTAGTTTACTCGTTATTCCACTTTCTGGTATCCTCTGACTCTTGGCTATTTCCTCGACTATTCTAATATGTTAAACCAGGCCATCCTAAGGTCCGGTAATACATTTCTTTGGTAGGTGACACACTGCGAGTTTGGGTCACTATCATGACAGTTACATTCCTAGGTGCAGCCTTTCCGCCGAGCAGGCTTCCCCATAAACCGCAATGTACTGCTCCCAAGACGCACTGTTGTCGACAGAGCAGGCAGCGTTAAGATTGGCTGAAGTTTGTGGGAGATGGCATGAAGCTGACAGTGTATCTTGCAGGCAGCATTGAGATACCCTGTCAGCCGTCAGTCACATTTACCTCGCTCAGTCTAACATAAATTTCAGCCAATCTGTGAACAGGATTTAGGAAGCCAGCCAATGAGGCGTAAGCTGCGCAACATCACTTCCCCCCCACTGAGTAAGCTCCCACACAAGGAGCTAAAGACAGTCGATGGCAGGATGAGATGAGAAGGAGCCCTGCGTCTTTGAAAACAATTAAAGGGGCACTGCCACTTGGACATTATTATGAGTTTTTTAACTTGCAATGGCGTCTGTGTGTTCCAAACTTTTTTTTTTTTTCATAATGGCACTTTGTTTCATTATTCCCACACAATGTGCAAAATAGTCTATCACTGGCCCTGGTCTCAGGTCTTAAAGTATATGCACAACACTGCATGAATCATGCATTAGGCCATGGGAGTTTATGCTGGTAGTACTGGATGGGTTTGTGAATTGGCTGGTTCTCAGCCTCACTGTTCTCCAGGCCTGGACTGGCCCACTGTTATGTCTACCAGAGGACTGTGTACAGTCTCAGTGTCATGTTGTGTACTTGATTCTCATAACGGTTTCAGGGTTACATGATGTCATACTGTAATTTCTGGCAACTTCATTACCCTTTTTGTGGCAAGTTCATTTATCACAATTAGCACATGCAATCCGATCTCTGAGTTTTGTGCACAAGAAAAGGCTAGTCATTTATACTTGCCCCTCAGTCCCAAAGTTGCCCACTCTCCTCTGTAGGCCATGAGTCCATCGAGTGATGCTGACTGTAAGAGAGCAAAAACACTTCTTGGGAGTAACATCCAGCACTGGACATGATGCTTGAGCAAACCATGGATAATATCATGTGAATCTAAGATATGATAATTTTATTAGTAGAAACCAACCGTACTTAGCAGTATACGGGATGTACATATAATGTTTAAAAGGAAGCATCTCCATAATTATAACACATTTATGCATTCTTATAAGTCTGACTCCACCAATTAGCACAACTTAATGCATTGAAATTCAAAATGAATTTGAAATAAATATCTGAAGCAATTTTTCAAAATATGTCGATGTTTGTTTTAATATATATTCATTATTGGAAGAATATAAAGGGATCATCTCGAAATAGGTTGGAAAGGTCCAAATGCCCCACAATACTACACTGATTTTCTTTCCATAATAACCCATGTAACAGCTGTTTTCAAGCCTACAAAGAGCACTTTTCGTCTTGCTATTGCTAACCTAAACAGATTATTTTTCCATGATCAGGTACTTTGCACTGCCACTGTGTATCACAAATTTAATTCCAATCTGTAGGCATCTGCTGGCTTATTAAAAACATTAAAATTGTAACTAAAAGTGGCAGCACAGAGAATTTGGATTTCAGCCTTGACCTTGAAATGGAGCCACTAGAAAAGATTTATTATCATGTGTTTACTATGTCTACGGGAACTTTATCTGCTAGAATGTTGTAATTATATCAGTTGGCTCCCTACAAAACCATTCCTAATGTGATCCACAATTGTGTTTTTAAATTTTGCTAAATTAAAAACATTGTTGGCTTTGATAATCGTTCAGTTATTGTTGCCTAAAATTCGAGATTCTTTTAAATTCCTGGGAAGCGTGGATTCCTCTTTGTGTGCGTCAAAGTCCTCTGCTTTGGTAACCCATAATAATCCTTCACTTTTTTCATATGACGTCTGTTACAGCTATCTAGTAATATAAACAGACGTACAGAGACAATTCCCCTTACAAAAACTTAGAAAGTAAAAGACTTGCTTTATAAAATGGAAGGGGCATTTTGAACTCATTTGCAATGAGAAATGAAGCACATTCCGGGAACATATCAGAAAAAGAAACAGCTGACATTTTTTTCAAATCTCATTCAATCTAACATCAATAAATATAACTTACTATGAGAAAACACATGTGCGTGTGTGCTGAATACCTGGGGAAACATCTATTACAAAAAAAGATTAAAAAACAACACAGTATTACCTAAAATAAATACCTGCTATCCACTACTCTTCCCTGTGTCTCCTGCTCACCTGATCTTGATTGGCAACCACATACACAGCTTTAGAGCTTCGTGGCTCAGTGACCTAAAGAACGTCAATTTCAGTGACACCAGCTAATGTATTATCCGGTCCACTTGGAGCCAGACTACATGTTCTCCCTTACTATAGACAGTATATAAGTATATAGCCACACACATTATATATGTAGTATTGGGGGATTCACCCCCATAGAAATTTACATAACCTGTAAAATGTATATAATATAGAGATATTGTCACTTTACCCCACTCCATCTAGAATGTAAGCCTGTTTGACCAGGCCTCTACACCCTCTGTTCCTGTGCGTCCAACTTGTCTTGTTGTTTTGTCTTTTAGTCCACATAGTGTACAACGCTGCTGAATCTGTTGGTGCTTTATAAATAATAAAGAATATATTTGACTTTGTAAACACTGCATGCTTCATATCTATAAGGGAGGGGAGGGAAATGAAGGGTTCTGTGTGGCAACCATAAGATCCAAGAGGGTAGTGGTCAGAAAACTGCCAGGACTAAGGGGTATAGAAATGTTACATTTTATTTTTTTGGACTTATACAGAACTTCCATTCCTAGTTTCAAAGGATGTAAATGTATACAGTGAATGCTTTTGTAGCCGAATTCTCCATTGCGTTATAATAAAAAATAAAATAAAATAAAAAGATTTAAGAAAAAGCATTTGTCATGTGATTGAATCCATTCTGTGTAAATATAGGCTGGTATTCTGCACCCATGGATAGAAATCACTAAGACTAATGGCTTTTCTAACTGCATTGTGTCCATGACTTGTTTCGTGACATACAGTGCACAAAGGTCTCAATTATTCATTTAATCTGTTGCTGGGATCAGATTAGAAGAACCAGTACATTTATTGTAAAACACAAGATTGTGTAAACATTAGCTTATTATACAATATACAGTCTGCCACGGAGAATGGGAGTCTAAGTAAGAATCATCTAAGAAAGACTTCAACATATTAGTTTTAAAATTAATTGACAGACCACTACCTCTAAAACACAAACACTAAACGTGTGTTTTTAGTAAAATACAATAAATACACAGAATGCCATAAAGTATGAAATAAATGTACTCCAGTTTGTAGCCATTTTACTGACATTTCCCATGCTCACATTGGGACTCCAGTCTAAAAATTGCAGTCTGTGCATAACTTCTTAAAAACAATTACCATAACCCAAGCCAGTCAGCCTACATTTATTGAATAGTATTTTCTCTGCAGAATGTGCTGTCCATTGCCCGGCCCTCCATGCTACTGGCTCATGATACAGGTGATACTCGAAAAATTAGAATATCGTGCAAAAGTTAATTTATTTCAGTAATGCAACGTAAAAGGGGAAACTAATATATGATATAGACGCATTAAATGCAAAGCAAGATAGTTCAAGCCGTGATTTGTCATAACTGCGATGATTATGGCTTACAGCTCATGAAAACACCAAATTGTGCACCATTTTAGGTCCTGTGAGACCACAGCATTTTCCATTATTGATCTTGCCATGTATACTGAGATGTTAGCTCCAATTAGCCATCTAGAGCGAAAGCAAATGGCAAGATGTGGTGGAGGAAGGGCCTCCTATTGCCACATTTTGCCAAATCTAAAATGGTCACGTTGAAAAGTATCCCATATTTTCTTTTGTGAAGCCTTTTGATTGCAGTGGACTTTTAATGAATATTAAAGGAATTCCAATGCAGTTTTCAGGGGTTTTCCAGGAATATTCTATATTTTTTGAAAGAGGTGATAGTGACACTTTAAAAGGCAATGGGGTGGACAAATTGTATTGTAAAAATGACAGACCAGTACCTGCCTAATTTGCCAATGTTTAGTCCTACAGAAGCCCTCTGTAGAACCAACATACAAAAATAGACTTAAAAGACCAAGTGGCCTCAGCTATCAATGTCCTAAACCACTGCTATGCAACTGTGATTCCCACCTTTAGATTATTTCATTCTATACTATGATTAAGCATATTTTCTTTTAGCTCCTCAGGTGTGAATACAAGCAGTAACAGCTTCTCTAAATCATATTCATCACACTGCTCCGAATTAAGCGAAGCCACTACCTCTTTACCAATTTTGTCAAGAAACAGAGGGCTATTGCAGCATAGCAGTGATTCTGGCATATCGTCTCCAGTGAGTATATATTTTTCTTATGAATTTTCAACTAATCAGTTGTGTCAACAAATCTTCACACTATCATTATGCTTATGTTATAATTTTTACACGATCAAAGGGGAGTAAAAAAAATAAAGTTTGTTTTCAAAAGTAATGAGTGACTCCACCATCTGTCAGTCCAATAGATGACTTTGGGTTTGGTGGAGTCCAGGAAAATGTGATCTGTCTGATTGAGAAGTAATATGAACTGAATAAATGGTGAAATATGAATTATGGTATGGGATTGCTTTTGTGGCATACAAATAAATTCTTGGCAATTCTGTCTGTTACTCTAAGAAACTTACCTTTCCTTTGTGTCAGAATCCCAATGGTGGCTTGATCTTGGAATACGCCCTCTCAAAATGCCACCATGGCATCATATGCCACCTGATCAAGCAGCATGAGTGCTATGCAAGAGAGCAGTTTAATTGAAATTTATATTGAACATAAAATAAATTAATTGCAGGGCAATTTCAATCTCTGCCTGGCAGCATGAATCAGATCACTGTTTGTTATAGTTAACAGTCTGTTGAACATAGAGGGGTTTATTTACTTAAAGCAGGCTTCCCCAAACTCCGGCCCTCCAGATGTTGCTGAACTACAACTCCCTTGATTCTCAGCCTATCTATTTTATTCATAGAATCATGGGAGTTGTAGTTCAGCAACATCTGGAGGGCCGGAGTTTGGGGAAGCCTGACTTAAAGGGACACTATAGTCACCTGAATCACTACAACTTAATGTAGTGGTTCTGGTGTCTATAGCACGTCCCTGCAGGCTGAGCAATGAAACCGTTGCCTTTTCAGAGAAAAGGCAGTGTTTACATTGATGCCTTGTTACCTCTATTGACAGTCCCTCAGACAGCCACTAGAGGTGCTTCCTATCTCATGGAGATGCTGAATGCTCCCCTTAGAGTTGCATGGATCCGATGCATCTAGTTAAGGAGATTCTGATTGGCACTCATGTACAATAGCCTCCCAATACTTTCCTATGAGAAAGCATTGGATTGTCTGATTATCAAGAGGCAGAGCCAGTCATAGAGAGACCAGCGCAGCGATGGAGAAAAGGTAATTAAAGATACCCTTTTACTCCCCTCTGATATGGGCCGGGAACGTAATATGTACTCCAGCACTATACATGTTTGTATTCCTAACTCTATAATGTTCCTTTAGCAACAAGTTGCAGTGAATTATAATTTATAGAAAAAATAGCTGATTTGGAAAATTCCCTAACTCATTTATAGTGATAGCTCAGACAAACGTTTGTTTTACATAGTTACATAGGCCGAAAAGAGACATGTGCTAATCAACTTCAGCCTTCCTCATGTTTCTTTTTGTTGTTGACCCAAAACAAGACAAAAACCCAGACTTCCTTTTTTCTAGAAAAAACTAGGAAAAAAATGCTTCTTGACCCCAGAATGACAGTCAGATATCTTGTTGGATCAAAAAGATATGTTTATTTCAGTTTTTAATTTACTATAATTTTATGATTAGTGAATAAATCCTCTCATTTTAAGATAAATAGAGGTAAAGAAACTCGTATGCAGGAAAATCATAGGCAGTGACTGCAACTAGCCTCCAGCCCTGTTAGACAGGTCTTACATTTAAAGAGCTACTCCAAATCTTTTCAAAGAACCGTTTCTTTAATCTAGAATAGGCATTAGTGATTGAATCTACTCTTATAAAGCTTTCAAGTAAAGCATAAATTTAGCTGGAATCCAGCAGTAGGCAAAGCTCCCTGCGCTGCTTTTCACACGTCTGGTACATCAAGGCATCAATGCCTCCCTTGCATACATCCAATCAAATGCTTCTGTTAGAGAAGCATTTGATTGGTCGTTCTCACTGGCTCAAAGTGCATGTGCGTGTTCTGAGTCAGGGAGGGTGGGAGTGAGGGATGGCTAAGGAAGGTATTAAAAAACAACCAAAAACAAACAAAACTAATAATCTAGTGGAGGGAATGCACCAAGGGAGGGTGGCACTGAGAGAACATTCAAGCTTCCCCTTGCAGCAATGTCCCCAGCTAAGGGTAGAAGTTGACCGTGTCTGACCACAAAGATATTTTTTATGTCTAGAGTTATTATTAGGGAACCCAAAACGAGTACAATTAGCCCCTGGCATAAACGTGCAAATATTTCTATATGTATAGCATTTCAAGTAGAATACAGATTTGATCACCATGACCACTTCTAAAAGCAGAAGTGGTTATGGAAATTGTAGTAACCTTTTAATAAAAATCACAAGCAGCAACTTCTCCTCATCAAACAACATTTTTTTTTACTTTATTTTATTTTATTAATGCTAAATGAGTATTTATATATATATATATATATATATATATACATACATATATATATATACTGTGTCTAATCCTTAAAAAGAGGATATATAGGTTTATTTACATACATTACCTGCCGTTTATGAAAAAATAATTAAAAAAAATAAAAAAAATCACAATAATGCTAAATTGTTCTGGCAGTGAATAGGTTAAAGCCTAAACAGTGTATTGGAATGAGATGTTCAACGAGTAGATGTCCACATACTTTCTGTCATGTATTTTTCTAGCACATGCCTGTTGGTATAGGAGGCAATGGTTTCTGACTTTAGCCATGATTTATTATTTTTTGGACAAACTTTTGAAATTATTTAATATTTTGCAAAAACTTTTAAAAATATATATTTTTAAGTTTTGATATTTTCTGATATATTGATACATGTTTATATATGCTATATTTTTGGTACTTCACTATTTAGAATAATAAATCATTTTACATGTTTATCCATAAATATTAACTCATTTGAGAAGCCTATCCAAAAATATTATATTGTTGACCATGTTGCAATGTAGTGAAGAGTTCTGAACTTCTGAATTAAGTCTTTTAAAATCAAGTTACAGATTCTCTTTGGAGATATTATATAAATGCTAAAAACCTTCAAAACAAAACTGCTCACATTTGGATAATTGCAGTAAACAACCTGTCTCACTTGAATATGCAAGCATAAATCATTCAACACTTAATTTACAGTTATTACAAGTTACTTTTTCGCATGTATAAATAAAACTATGAGACTCAATATCACAATAACTCCGAATTGCCAATGGGCATTGTATTGACTTTCAAAAACAAAATATCCTGGCCTTTTGTTACTGAATTAATTTAATAGACGTGATGGTTGACTGGAACTATTTCAAACATTGTACCGAAGATTTAATTTACCTCCTTACCAGTTTCTTAGGGAGATATTTATATGTAACTCAAAACGAATGCAAGTATGTACGAATTATATCTCAAATTATTGTCCTT